CCTGCCCCCAGCCGGTTCTGGGTCAAGGTGAGCTGAGGAGTTCAAGGTTGTGTCAGGGGCGTCCTTGCCACCTTTGAGGCCTGGGGAGATCGACTGTCAGCGGCAGAGAAGGACCTGAACTCATACATCCGTGAGGATGGAGGATTTTTACAGAAAAGGAAAGAACTGGGAAGACAGCCTGCAGAAGAGACCGTGGACCAGGGTATAGACTTGAGGGCTGGGCAGGTGTGTAAGAGAAGCGGGCAGGTGGGACCGCAGTGGCCATAAGCGAGTGACCAACTGTCCCTTCCTGGGAACGCAGGAACGCAGACCCAGAAATTGGAATTTTTACATGAAATCCATTTTTTTTTATATATTAGCAACTAAGAAGAATTTTTTAAAAAAACCACTGTAGGCAGCCTGGGGCCAGGGCTGGGGCGGGGACTGACTGGGAAGGGCCCAAGAACACCGGGGAGTGCTGGAAACGCGGTCAGGAGTGCTGCTCGCTCAGGTGTGTTTGTTAAACGCAGCAAACCACGCACTGAAGGTGGACAGCTGTCACCGAATGTCGGCGATACCTCAATAAAGTGGACTAGGACAGAAAAGGGAGAGTGGGGAGAAGAAAGGAGAAGTACCGGGACTCACTGAGTCAGTCTGCATTTAAAAAAAATTTTTTTTGGCCAGGTGCAAGCCTCCTGAATAGCTGGGGCTACAGGTGCCACCCACTGTACCGGGCTTCAATCTGCACCTTAACAAGAGCCCTCGTGCTTGCAGTATCTAGAGACGCCCCTCCCTTTCCCCACGTGCTGCACCCCTTCTTATTTACGCGTCAGTGCCGGGTGTTCGGTGCAATCACTTATTCTGAGTGGGAGCCTAAGCTGACATGGTAATTACAGAGCTCATCATTTGTACCGATCCAGGAGACAGGACTACAGTGTGATTAGCCCCATTTTACAGGTGGGGAGACAGAAGCACTAAGTGGAAGAGCCAGAATCAGGCGCCATGTTTCCCCGTCCCACCTTGCCACCTGCAACTGTGGCTACGGGGGCAGCTGCCATGGGGCTGGGGGGTGTTGGCAACCCACTGCTCACAGGAGAGCTGACTTGGATGCATCTGTAGGTCCCAGCATGGAATTCACTGCCAAGAAGCAGGCTCCTAGGATGGCCCCCTCCCCAAGGCGTGTGGCACAGCTCTGTGGACCGGGTTGGTGGCATTCAGTGGCCACCACCCTCCTGCCTCAGCTGCATCCATTAACTAGGGCGTGGGGTTTTTCCGGGGAAGTCTGGCTGCTTTTCATCATCTCCTTGGGAGCTGGCCATTCTAGTCTGGCCAGCCATCCCCAGCCCTGTGACCATTTATTTTTCATACTAGTGGCTCTCAAGGCTTTAAAAAAGTACTGATGCCAGCTGGGGGTGGTGGCTCACGCCCGTAATCCCAGCACTTTGGGAGGCTGAGGCTGCAGGTATGGTTGAGGTCAGGAGTTCAAGACCAGCCTGGGCAACATAGCAAGACCTTGCTTCTGAAAAACAAAAGCTTCCCAGGTGGTTCTAATGTGGCTAAGTTTGAGAATCACCACTTCAAGTTTTCAATTTATTTTTGTTCTGATGTCAAGAGGTCCAGGAATTTGGAGGTTACACAACCACACATGAGAAATACATGGACTGTGAAAAAATATTTAACAGTAAGTTTGAAAAAAAGGACAGAAAACAAAGCAAGCACAGAGAGCACTAATAAGTGTTAATGAAACTATTTTAGACACATAGTTCCTATAACATCCCAGGCCTACCTTTATTTTTGAGACAGAGTCTCACTCTGTTGCCCGGGCTTATAGTGCCATGGCATCAGCCTAGCTCACAGCAACCTCAAACTCCTGGGCTCAAGGGATCCTCTTGCCTTGGCCTCCCGAATAGCTAGGATTACAGGCACCAGCCACCACACCCTAATTTTTTTCTGTTTTTAGTTGTCTGGCTAATTTTTCTATTTTTAGTGGAAAGAAAAATAGGCCTACCTTAAACATTTCACTGAGAATGGTTTTCTGGAAATCTGGCACTCATGTTGCCCATCTGCTTCAGACAGGGCCCCCAGGAAAAGGTCCGGCAGCCTGCAGTTCTGCCTGGCTTATGTCTGTCGGCCAACGCCAGGAAGTTTAGTCACAGTCAGCTTTCCTCATCCGGGGCCTCAGTGTGCCAGGGCCAGTGTGGTGAGCCACCCAGCTCAGCTTGCAGTGGAAATGCCACCAGCCCCAGTTCAGCATCCTTCTCTCCCGTCTCGCAGATCTGAAAGGGCTCCTACCTACACCTGCCATCTAATCTCAAGAGTGGTAAGTAAATGCCTGTTTCTGATAGGAAATGCTCACGTTAAACCAAACTTAAAAATACTGGCGCTAACTTGCTGTCTCAATGTTGGGAAAAGCAGTGTGTAGACTGTCAGGCCCGGATCAGGGAGTTACTTCCCCCTTCAGAATCAATTTCCAGATAGACGTCCGTCTCTAAGCCCTAGTGTTTCTGGTTGTATGTGGACAGTTGCATCGAGGCAGGTGGAAGTCTGGCTTTGTTATTGTCATTTGGAGATCAAGGAAACGTATATGGGTGCCAAGCTGACCAGGGACGCACTGTGATGGCTGTGATGTGTCAGCTTGCCGAGAGTCCCCAGGCATTTAATCAACTGCTAATCTAAGTGTCGTGTGAGGCTATCTACCAGCTGTAATGAAAACCACTAATCAGTAGACTTTAAGGGATTATTCTGGATGCTCTGGGTCAGTCCAACTGAATCAGCGAAAGTCTTTTATAAAAACAAAAACAAGGCTGAGGTTTCCCCAAGAGAGAAGAAATTGCTCCCTTGAAGTGACAGCTTCGCCCATGCCCCTGGATCCAGCCTGCCCTTCGTCACTGACCTGTCCGACTGGAGGCCCATGGATTTCCGGCTTGCTTACCCAAGCCCCACAGTCCCCCTGGGTCCTGCCCTCTTGGATTAAATGCTGATTGAGGTAAGCAATGAGCAGGAACGTCCACAAGAGGGCGTCCAAGCGTTAAACACAAAATTCAAGATACTCTGATCCCTTTTTTTTTTTTTTTTTGAGACAGAGTCTCACTTTGTTGCCCAGGGCTAGGAGGAGTGCCGTGGCGTCAGCCTAGCTCACAGCAACCTCAGTCTCCGGGGCTCAGCGATCCTCCTGCCTCAGCCTCCCGAGAGCTGGGACTACAGGCATGCGACCATGCCCCGTAAGTTTTTGTTACTATATATATTTTAGTTGGTGCAACGTTAAGTTGTATTGTGGTCTATTTTTGGGGTAAAGGAGACGGGGTCGCTCTCTCAGGCTGGTTCTGAAGCTCCTGACCTTGAGCAGGCGGATTCCGCCCGCCTCGGCTCCCAAAGGCTTAGGATTACAGGGTGAGTCGCACGCGCCGCGCGCTACTCTGATCCTTTTTGATCAAGTTATTTTAGGGGAAGAGAAGTAAAATGTTGGCCAGGGCGTGGTGGCTCGACACCGTGTAATCCTAGCACCCTGGGAGGCCGTGGGCGGATTGCTCGAGGTCAGGAGTTGCGAAACTGCCTGAGCAAGGTCAAGAGCCATCTCTACTAAAGAATAGAAAAGAATTAATTGACCAACTAAAATTAACTAACAAAAAAAGTTAGCGGCATGGTGCACATGCCGTGTAGTCCCAGCTACTCGGGGAGGCTGAGGCAGGAGGATCGCTTAGCCCAGAGAGGGGAGGTTGCTGTGAGCGTAGGTGAACGCCACACACTCGACTCTAGCCGTGGGGCAACGAAGTGAGACTCTGTCTCAGAAAAAACCAAACAAAAAAAAAAAAGTAAAATGTTATTAAAATATGAGACCTCTTCAAGGGACAGATAACAACCACAGCATTTCAGCTCTCACTTTTAGGTAAATGTACTCCTCACACGCTGTGTTCAAGTTTTGTATATGTACTATTTGACACCATAGCCATTAGCTACTGAGCATGTAAAATAAGGCATGAAAAACTGAGGAATGGAATTTAATTTAAATGGGGTCCCAAGACCTTCTAGATGCCCTTCTGCCTCCCTACAGAGAGCTAGCTTTTAATTTTTCTTTACTCAACTTGCTCCAGAAATAAGAGTCCAAGCTCATTGTAGCCTTTCGCAGACCAGTCATCTTTGCTGAGGTCTCTCTGGTTTACACGATCACATGGTTGATGTCGACGGCCTCGGACGCGCGGAGCGGTGAGAACGGGGAGGAGGTAGCTGGCGGAGCTGTGACGGTTCTGCGCGGCGAAACAGATGTCCGAGGGTCTGAGGTGTCGCTCTGTCGTGCTCCCAGGCTGTACACTCAGCTCTGACCCGCACGAATTCCCTGAGGACCCAAACAGCTCCTCTCTCATTTTTTGCCTCAACTGCCCTCCCGAGACGTTATGCAACAAAATGTCCACAACAGATCTCATTCGCCTGCGTTTGTTTTTTTTTGAAAGAGAGTCTCGCTTTTTTCCCAGCTAAGTAAGGGTTGATGCCGTGGCATTCAGCCTAGCTCACCAGCAACCTCAAACTCCGGGCTCAAGCAAATCCGCTGCGTCAGCCTCCCGAGTAGCTGGGACTACAGCATGCGCCACAATGCCTGGCTGCGGAGGGTTTTCTTCTGGGGTGGTGATGATGTGAGGTGTGGCCGAAGTAGAGTGGGGGTGAGTATATAAGACCCAGCGCGTGCGCACGAACTCCTGACCTGAGCAAGTGCCGCCCCCGCTCTGCCTCCGAGAATGCGAGATGTGACGACAGTGAGCGCAGGCTGCGCGCTGGCGCCCTGCAGCGCGCGTTGTGTGCAACACGAAAACCTGGCTAGTTCTCAAAGCGGTGAGCCGCGAGCTGCGCCACGCCGAGTGGGGAGGACACGGTAAAACAGAGCTGAGATTGTTCTACAGACACACACACAGTATTCTCACAGGTCACTGAGGCTTTTTAGTTTGGCACAAAGACCATAGGATCTTGCCGTGGGCCGCACCGTGCGAAATACAGTTGCGTCGGGGGTGATACATGGCTCCAGACACTGGGGTGGCAAAAGTGAGGGTGGAGAATACAGGCGATCGATTGTTGGGCCAATGACATTGAGTACAGAGCGTAGGGTTTGTCAACAGGTTCCGGTGGTCAAGCTTGGCTTCTGTAGAAGTTCTAAGGAAGCAGTGAGCACACCACAGCAGCGGGCGAGGGGGTCTAACTACCAGAGGCCCCTGCAAGTACTGGTCGGGGGGCCTTGCGCTGCCCGAGCTGACATCAGGGGAGGGGTCTAATTAGCTGACAAGCGATGATGGATTTGTGGGTGCGCCTGCCCACAGCTTACTTGGCCAGGGGGTTTCTGAAGCTCCTGCCAGCAAACTTGGCCTTGCTGCCCAGTTCCTCTTCGATTCTGGGAAAGCACAAAGATAAAGGGAGGGGGAGGGAAAAAGAAAAGTCAAATCTCAATGCCGTGAGTTTTCCCACCCTGGATGTGATCCAAGACACAGCCCACTCCTTCCCGAGGAGTTGTGAACCCAGAACTCTCCTTTTCAACTTCTTGAACTCTCTAAATCTCTGCTTCTCTGAGATGCCAGGAATAGAAGAGCATTCAGCTCTCCTCATCCCCCCAGTTCAGCCCACAATGTGCTATCCACTGACTCTCAGTGTTTCTCATGGACAACATAGCAAACACCACGATTGCTATTTCTTAGAATATAAAAATTGTAATGCTTTTCCAGGAAAACAAAAGAACAAATAATGGCATGGGGAAAAAACAAAGGAGACCTTATTAAAAGACAAAATGGGTGTGCTATTTGGATCTTGATGTAAAAAAGATGGTCACTCAGACCATCGGAGGTGAGTGAACAGACTTGGTATTGATACATGGAATCGCAACTAATCTTGGGCAACCAAATGGAAGCGTGGTTATGTCAAAGTCTTTATGTGAAAAGTCTTTACTCTGCTTTTTTATGTAGGTTTGGAAATTTCAAGGATAAAGTTTAAAGAAGGGATAACATAGGAGAACTTATGAACTGGGTGTTCCTTTTCCCTGTAAGTCTATAAAAAAGTAACTAAAGTGGGAGACATAATCGACCAACACCTATGTGAACATGTGGAAATCATATTCATCGGAAATCAATCAGGTGTGGGGGAGAGGGGGGATGGGTAAATTCACACCTAATGAGTACAATGCACAGTTTCTGGGTGACGGGCACAATTATAACTTTGACTCAAATAGTACAAAAGCAATTTATGTAACCAAAACGTTTATACCCCCATAACATTCTGAAATAAAAAAAGGAAAAAATAAATATACAAAAAAAAGAGAGAGAGAGTATAAGACTCCTTGTGCCCAGCGGCTCCCCAAGGACAGGGAGACAAGAAAGGGAGGGAAACCAGAAAACCCAATACACTAAATAGTGGAAACCCAGCCATCTGCCAATTTTCTTCATCTAAGTCCTGGCTCCACATCCACAAAACCAGGGTAAATGAGCTGAAAAGGATAATCACTAAGGGGCTCTTACAACTCAAAAAAAACACTGTGGTTGGGCCGGGCGTGGTGGCTCACGCCTGTAATCCTAGCACTCTGGGAGGCCGAGGTGGGTGGATTGCTCGAGGTCAGGAGTTCAAAACCAGCCTGAGCAAGAGCGAGACCACGTCTCTACTATAAATAGAAAGAAATTAATCGGCCAACTAATATATATAGAAAAAATTAGCTGGGCATGGTGGCGCATGCCTGTAGTCCCAGCCACTTGGGAAGCTGAGGCAGGAGGATTGCTTGAGACCAGGAGTTTGAGGTTGCTGTGAGCTAGGCTGACGCCATGGCACTCACTCTAGCCTGGGCAACAAAGCAAGACTCTGTCTCAAAAAAAAAAAAAAAGAAAGAAAAAAAAGAAAAAGAAAAAAGAATAAAAAGCAAACAAACAAACAAACAAACAAAAAACCCCACTGTGGTTGAACTGTCAACAGGGAGCCGCCAGAAGATGGCAGCATTGTGCGGAACAGGCTCCCACTGCTGGCTGGTGTTGCCAGGTGCCCTAAGTTAGGGTATATGCCTGACTGCTACACCCTGACCGACCCTGCTCAGGCCCCAGCACTGGGCACCCTCTGTACATGCCCCCAGAGCCACGTGCTCCTGGTGGAGGGTGGTGCCCACATGCAGTGCAGACGCCTGAGTGGGTGAACCAGAGGCCCATGGTATCGGGAACCCCCTTTACCTGAGGAGCTGGTTGTACTTGGCCAAGCGCTCAGATCGGCAAGGTGCACCAGTCTTGATCTAGAAGGAGAAAAGAAAGGTCACATTTGCCTGTAGTGGACACTGAGTCTTCATGGGCATTTCGGGCAAGGGGAGGGGTACCATGCCACAGCGACTTTCTACAGAAGGATCTCTGACCCTAGGAAGGTGGGGGTAAGAACACAGGCAGGGCACGCACAACCAGATCCTATTCAGGCTCATGAACTGTAGCAGGTACACAGAGGGCAAACGCAGCACCCCCCGCCAACAGCTTTATCGAGCACCACCCCCAGGGTCTTCCCAGGAAGTTGAGGTCAGAAGAGAAATAAAGAGAACCTTCCATTCTAAGCATGCCTTTACCTGCCCAGTGCAGAGCCCCACCACCAGGTCAGCAATGAAGGTGTCTTCAGTCTCCCCAGAACGATGAGACACCATGACGCCCCATCCATTGGACTGGGCCAGCTTGCACCTGGAAGCCAAGAAACAACCCACATGGCATGACCCCACGTCTGTTACCATAAACCCGATGCCATTATTCCTTAGTGCTGGCAGGAGACCAATGGAGGGGCCACCAACAGGAGCTAGAGCTCTCAACAACTAGGGGTTTGTGGAGAGCAAGAGGGTAACCCTTACCTTCCTCTAAACTCCTTCCCAAGGATCTCTGCAGCCCTCTAGGCATGGCTCAAACACTGGGTTTGTTTCCCCTTGAGGGCAGAGACTAGTCTTGTCTGACAGCCCTTCACTGCGTCCATTCACTCAACAGCCCTTTCCGTGTGAAATTAAGCCACACGTCTAGGGCCACAAAGGAGTCAGGATTCGGCCACCACTGCTCAACGCCCTAGCCCCTTGGTGCGCTCGCTTACTTTAAAAGGCACCTGGAGTTCAAACATGAAACCGGTCATGATGGTGTGCACAGCTCAGTCAGCCGGGCCCCCCAACACCAGAACAAAGGAGCCCCAGTTCCGATTCCCAGTCCCCAGCAGTGTGAAAGCCGCTCTCCTGGGAGGACACTTACGCCTGCAGAGACTCGGTCACAGAGCCGATCTGGTTCACTTTAAGCAGGAGGCAGTTGCATGACTTCTGACTCACGGCCTTGGCAATCCGCTTCGGGTTGGTCACGGTGAGATCGTCCCCCACCACCTGGATTCCTGCGCTGGCCGTGAACTTCTCCCAAGCCCCCCAGTCGTCCTGGTCAAAGGGATCTTCGATAGACACCACTAAGGAAGGAGAGACAAGCCCCTCAGGGCGGTGCTCCCGATCTGCTGCCCCGCAACGCCCAGAGCCTCACCTGCCTCTCAGCTCAGCTCGCCTGCCCTCCTGCCACTCTCACCTGCAGGACAGGAACAGCTCCCAACTCGGCCTGGAAACACGCTGCCCTACCGACCCACTCCTGCAGCAAGCCACAGGGGCCCACAATCCTGGGCCCACAGATTTTTTTAAAAAGAGAATATTAACCTGCCTAAGGTGGTCAGAGATTAGTGCCACTGAGAATAAGAAAGGAGCAGCTTCAGAAGCGTGAAGACCTGAGTGAGAGTCGTGGCCAACCTTGACCAGGTTACTTAGTGTGGTGCTAAAATGCAGGCTCGGGAGCCAGGCCTCCTGGTCAGAATTCTTGCTCCATCATTTGCTGCACGCCCTTGGCAGGGTATTAAACCACTCTGTCCCTCAGCTTTCTCTCCTGCAAAAGGGCAGTAGCAGTCCCTAACCTGTGTGCATTAAAGGACGCCCAGAGCCTAGAAGGGAGCCAGCTCACAGCGAGCATCACACCTATCAGTAACAAGCAGCCCCCGTGACTCTCAAGGCTTGACTCCTGGTCTCTGTGAAGCTGCTGCAACGGGGACAGAAGTAACTGCACTGTGAACGACTTGCAGTCATCGCTGGCACCTGAAGAACCCTCTCCTGAGACTCCTCTGCTACACCAGGAACCTCTATGAGTCCCATGTGTGTATGCTGCGTGCAGCCCAGGCACGGGTCCCGAGGGGAGGTGTGCAGCAGACACCCCCACCTCGGCCTGGCAGCCATCGCCAGCTGCCGCAGCTGTGAAAGAAGCACTCACCTGGGTAGTCCCTGACGAAGGACTTGTACAGGTCGGCCAGCTGGTCAGGTGTGATGTACCTGCTGGGGTCATCGGGAGACTTGAAGTCCAGGTCATACTTCCCATCCCGGAAGAACTCGGAGGCGGCCACGTCCATGCCGATGACCACCTTATCGGTGTAGCCCGCTTTCCCGATCGCGTTCTTCAGCAGCTCCAGGGCTGGAAAGAGAGAGGGTGGCAATTAGTTTGGAAAGCAGGTAAAGATAAAATTTCCCTCCAATAGCTGCCCAACAGGGACTGTAACAGAAAGAGCAAGTGGTGTTTGGGCCCAACCATCAGTTTTGATGACATCAGTTACTTTTTTCTCCTCTGGGGCAAGAAACCATTGGTCGGAGCCCTTAGTGCATCACCAGTCGGGAAATTCAGTGTAGCTACTAGGAAAAGTCTTTCCCATTGAGAAATGCTCCCAAATTTACTGCTCAGGAACAGCTGTGCTGGCCTAGATACAGTTACAGTGACCAGCTGAGATCAGCTGTCCTAAGGAATAGGCTTTAAATAGAGCTGAGGCGGGGATCCAAGGGGAGCCCGGCCAGCAAGAGCCTCTCCCAGGCTGTGCACAAGAGCTCGGACTCGGGGTTTGCCTCACCCGGCCATGCTGACCTGCCCATAAAGCAGACAGGCACTTGGCTCCTGTGACACCAAAGATCCTCAAGCTATGGGGCAAAACCATGGGAAAGGACATTTTTTATAGAACAAAAATGGCCAAATATGAGCAATCTCCTATGGCTGGATCAACGAACAGACTATTTTCTTTCTTTTACTAGTTGCCTTTGAAGGCAACAGAAATATGCTTAAGCATTGTTTATCCTTCCAGAACATAGAACTTGGTAGTGAGTAGTTCTTGTCCCAAGACTTTTGTACTTGCTAGAATTTTCACACTTAACCAAGCTAAGGATTCAAAGCAAAACCAAAACAAAACATAGCCTGTTGAATGATTGCCCTGGTTGAATTTACTAAAATAGTTATTGATCATGTTGCAGAACTGAACGAAGAGGACGTTCACGTACACAGAGGATTTCAAGCCTTTGCCATCGCAGGGTCAGCAGGAATCGTGAGTAATAAACTGTCTTTCTATACCCCAACCTGCCTAGTTCGACAATGAGCAGGGCATTCAGCAATCAAATAAATAAGGACATTCCCTCTATTCTCCTTTAAAATGACGTGACCACTTTTCTGAACAAAAGGTAGAAAGATGCCTATCCCAAGGTGGCCGCATGGAAGATCCTCCCGAGGGAGGGAGATGGCACAGCCCAGGGGCCCCTCTGGCGCCTTTACCTTCCTTATTCTCCAGGATGTTGGGAGCAAACCCGCCTTCGTCCCCCACATTGGTGGCATCTTTCCCGTATTTGTCCTTGATGACGTTCTTCAGGTTGTGGTAAACCTCCGCTCCGATGCGCATGGCTTCCCTGAAGTTTGCCGCACCGACGGGGAGGATCATGAACTCCTGCATGGCCAGCTTGTTGCCCGCGTGAGAACCGCCGTTGATGACGTTGAAAGCCTGGGGAGGGGCAGGGCAGAGAAGCATGGCACCAGGCCCAGACAGCCCCACGGAGCAGCAAGCCCCTCGCGTCCAGTCACCTGGCTCACAGATAAGCTCAAGACTTGGGCCTCAGGGAACAAGAGTGGGGCCACGGGCAGCTGTGAAAGGCTCACCAGGGCTCTCTTTTTTGAGATGGTGTCTTGCTGTATTGCCCAGGCTAGTCTCAGATTCCTGGGCTCAAGCGATCCTCCCACCTTGGTTTCTTAAGTAGCTGGAACCACAGGTGCCTGCCTCCACACCTGGCTCTCACCAGGTCTCTTTAGCTAACTGCAGTGTTTCTCATCAGGAGAAGCACTCACCACTGTGTCAATTAACACTCGCAGCCTAATAAGGGGAGTACAACTGCCATCCTTGTCACAAATGAAGAACCTGGGGTGCAGGGAAGCTGAGTCACCTGCTCAAGGTCATGCTTAGTGAGGGGCAGGGGAGCTGTGCTCGGGGTCTCATGTGTAGGAGATCAAGGCACAGAGAAAGCTGACACCCCCAATTGCTTGCTCAGGAAGTTCCAATAAGCCACTCACCGGGACTGGCAGGATGACTTCGGAGTTGCCAGCCAAGTCAGCGATGTGGCGGTACAGGGGCACCCCCTTCTCAACAGCACCAGCTTTGCACACAGCAAGGGATACCCCTAGAATGGCATTTGCGCCAAACTTAGCTAGAACAGAAGAGAACGGAGAGAAATGAGAACGGTGTTTCTTACTCACCAACCTTTCCTCTGCAGGCCTGCTACCCGTCAGTGCCACCGTACCACGTAGCATCTTAAGTTGCATTCTGAACCGTCTCCTCTCCCCCTTCATACCTCATGTTCAATGTTCAAACTAGAAATGCAAACTGCATTCCACATGGCCCCATTTGCATTTGTCCCCTAAGTCAGAGCCCCTTCTTTTGTTGATGAACTCTAGCAAATTCCACAAACTGCTTGGTTTAAAGTGCAAACCTCTTGAGTAACCATGTAGACATGCTGCCATCACCTGGTTATGCTCCCGTGTTTTTTTAAAAATGTGATTTTTTAAGGGGAAGCCCAGAAACAGGAAGAGACCATATATTGTCATTTAGTGCATCATTAGGGGATTATATGATCCCTTCCCGGAATTCTCTTTCTCTCTCTTTTTTTTATTTTATTTTTTTTTTAGACTTCTGGTTTGACTAAACCGGAAGTTTTTTAAAAGGTCTTCAAGAGACTCCATGATCTTTCCCATCAAAGATTCCACCTTGGGCCACTCACATTTATTTTCTGTTCCGTCCATCTCAATCATCAGTTTGTCAATCTTCTCCTGTTCCACGACGTTCAATTTCTACAAGGGAGAGGGAAGGAAAAGCGCTCAGAAGGGGCAGGCGCTGCTCTATCTACATAACCTTCACACTCCTGCCACCAATCTATAAAACTTTGGAACTGTGCACAAACTCAATTCTGTGTGCTACGTTTGTTTAATAGGTTAAAAAAAAAAAGGAAGGAAAGAAAAAAGAAAAAAGGAGAAAAAAGAAAAATCATTGGGGAGGCACGAAACTGCCTTTCACTTGCTCTGCCAGTCTCTGGCACCTCTCACCCACACGGTAACAGACGTGGCGGCTCGGAGACACACTTCCTCACTAGCACAGGGAGTGGAGTCCAGCTGGGCGCCCAAAGTTGCATTACACACCAGACGGCTGTCTGGCGCATGCTGTGGAGCATGCAGGCTGTCACCACCAACAACCGTTGAGTTTTGTGGGCCATAAACCAACATCAAAGCTCCCTTCAAAGGTAAGCTCTGGTGCCCGCTCTCGGCCACCTGAATGACGGTGAGCCTCCATCCTGCGGGGAGGCAGGGTTTCCAGATTCCAAAATCATTTAACAAAACATCTGATGATTGAGCAAAATGAGTGTTTTCGGTGAGACTATGAAGTAATAAAACTGATGTCTTGAGAACTGGCTCAAAATAATTTTTAAATAAAAACCAGCATTACTTTTAAAACTTCATAAATGAATCATAACAGTGTATGGCTCTATATATATCATGTTCTTTATATAAAAACTAAAACATGCCAAGAATTTCATCTATAACCCCATCATGCCATGTTAACAAATTGGTGTCTTCTGTGGTTTTCGACAGGGCATCCCTAGAAAAAGCAAGCAGTCACCCCGGTAGACAGGTTCAGAGGTCCATCCGCACCAACAGTGAAGTATGCTTCCCCCACGGGAAAACAAACGTCAAGGGATGCCCTGCTCAATGAGGGGGCATCCCTCATGCTGCGTCATGGGACGCAGTCATGCTGCGTCATGGGACGCAGTCATGCTGCGTCAGGGACGAAGAATAAGGTGTGTGTGGAGGTTCCCAGGAGACTGGCACACAGGGCGTGTGCAGGCAGAGCAGCAATGAGAAACTTCCACTGGGGACCACTTGGGTTGGGAGCAATTACAGAGGGCCCCAAAAGCCAGGCCAAAAATCAGCAAGTTGGGGCTAGGCACAGTGGCGTGCAGGCCTGCATCTTGGCTACTAAGGAGGCTGAGGTGGGAGGATCTCTTAAGTTCAGGAGTTTGAGGCCAGCCTGGCAAACATGAGATCTCATCCTCTACCCCCAAAAAGCAAGTTGGGGACAGAGAAAACAAAAATCATCTCATTTTCCATCAGATACAGGAGAAATTCAAGAAGGGGAGGGACTAGACAAGGAGGCTGAGGCTGGGCTTGGCAAGCTCCTCTAGACAGGGGTCTTTAAACTGTTCCCATCCAGGGAGCTCCACTGGAATCACATAGGGAAGGGTGGGCCACCAGGAGGAAAATGAGACAAAACCCTGCTGAGCTACTTGGGTTGCTGGGGCCTCAGCCCTGTTTTACCTACAGCAGCTCTACTTTTACCTGTTCTACATTGAGGTTTCAAGTAGGATTTTATTTAACAGGAATTCTACTGTTAAAAGCAAAGTCAGTAGAAATATAGTAAATAATTCCAAAGTTCATGAGAAATTAGTCAACACAGACACTACCTCCAACACCCCTGAGAGCCGATCTTAAACTCTGGATCTCAATTTCCGAAAGGTCAAGATAGTTGCAGGAGAAAAAAAAACACCCAACAACATGGCTCTGAGAAAGTCCTCATTCCTTTGATCCAATTCCATGTGCTATCAGCAGTGGACACACACGGGCAGCGGGCTATGTTAGAGTTACGACATGCATGGACTGTTCTCATGCAAGACAGGGAATCCGGCTGGTTTCAGCAGCTCTCAGAATAAGCTCTTCCGTAAACAGGAATGCCCCTGGGCCTGGGAGACGCTCTGATGGCATTAATACCCGTGAGTTTTCAGAAGGCAGGTCCTACCTTGCTAACCAGGGCAGGCGCAATAGTATTATTGATGTGCTCAACAGCCTTTGAGACACCTAGAAGGAATAATCACATCAAATTACTGACATTACTTTTAGAAACAGGCTTGAGCAGTATTGCTAGAGAGAACTACTGATGCTATTGACCCAGAGCCCGCCAAGAAACGGACCATGGGGCCTCTTTAACCACCCCCCCACCCCCGAATCACAGAACTGCCCGGCCCAGTCTGAGTGCTCTCACACAGCAGCCCAGGGGTTAGAGCCACACAAAGGGCAACGCACTCAGAACCAGCTGCCGGGGGGTTAGCTGCAAGACCAAGCGCTGGACACGCCAGCTGCAGAAACTAGAGTCTGCCCAGCGAGTTACCTGAGTGCACAGAGCTGGTGCCAGGAACTCATTAATATACTTAACGGGTCTGGAGACGCCTGCCCAGTAGACACGGACGAAGAAGGAAAAATGAGACTCAGAAGAGAACAGGTGAAGAAGGACCGGAAGTGAGAGAAAGCAAGGAAACAGGAAGGCAGAGAAGAGTACTTCAGGGACCATGCGCTCATTCGCCCGCAAATGCTGACTTACTGAGAGCTCGTTTCCAGACGAGTACCCACGCAGGCCACTGAACAGTGGTGACATGCTTACGTGCGGACAGCCCTCTCTGCGGTACCACGGGGGACTGAGGGCACAGCCTCCCTCCGGCACCGTCACTGCAACTCTAACCTCCGTGTTTCTCCACCGTGTTTCCTTACCACCCGCCCCTGTAGCCTTTTTAGACCTTTCCCCTATCTGCTCCCTGCTAAATGTTAATACCACATACACATCTATTACTGCACTGTGGCCCTTTGGAGGACCACAAACCATGGTGCTATTGAATTTTTTTGCCTCACCCCCCCCAAAAAAAACCCAATTAGAATGCTACATGCTTTTCTGTAATTTGGTCGCAAAGGGTCTACCTATAGAAGGGTGAAAGGTGCACCAACACTAACAAGTCAATTTTAATACAGCCAACCAGGGGCTGGCTTTGCCAGGGAGCTTCTGTGAATCAGGCAACAGAAAAAATGGTCCAAGGCCGGGGCATGGTGGCTCACGCCTGTAATACTAGCACTCTGGGAGGCCGAGGTGGGAGGATTGTTTGAGTTCAGGAGTTTGAGACCAGCCTGAGCAAGAGCAAGACCCCTGTTTCTACCAAAAAAAAAGAAGTTAATTGAACAGCTAAAAATATACAGAAAAAATTAGCCAGGCATGGTGGTGCATGCCTGTAGTCCCAGCTACTCGGGAGGCTGAGGCAGGAGGATTGCTTGAGCCCAGGAGTTGGAGGTTGCTGTGAGCTAGGCTGACGCCACGGCACTCTAGCCCAGGCAACAGAGTGAGACTCTGTCTCAAAAAAAAAAAAAGAAAGAAAGAAAAAATGGTCCCAAACCACAATGACTCATCTGTAGGTCATCATTAATGGTCAGCTCTTAGTTAGACTTTCCTTAGATACTTTCTTGTCCTTGAAGAGGCAGGTGGCCTGGAAGGCCCACAGAGCCTTTCTGAGAGAAGGGCATGCTTTGCTTTAGTGTGAGTTAACAGGTTCTCCTCCCCATGGGCTCCCTGCCCTAACCAAGGAGTACTACATAGACTAGAGACAAACTGCAGGCAAAACAAGCATTGAAACTCTTCATCCCAAGGTTACAGGCTTAGGAACCCTGGAATCAACACGCCAACTTTCCCAACACTGCTCCTCCTTTAAGCAGTGAGTTAAGTTGGGCTTACCACCCGCAAACGCAAGCCCCGCCCAGAGTAGGAGGGGTCTGGGAAGGGCCAGGAGCAGGCTAGAGGTGGGGAGGCTGTGGCTATGGGCTCCAGGTCTTACCCTTCCCCAAATAGCGAGTCTTGTCATTGTCCCGGAGCTCTAGGGCCTCATAGATACCAGTTGAGGCACCACTTGGCACAGCAGCTCTGAAGAGACCTGGATGAAGGGGAAAAAAAATAACAGCAATTCAATTACTGCACAAGTCTAAGTTCCTCCCACTCACGAATGGCATCTGTCATCAGAGAACACTGTTTCTTCCTCCTACCAACTAGATGACTCACACTGTCTCCTCTATGCTTCGTGCCTATCACGTTTTTTATGATCCTGCAATGCAGACTCTATTGCAAAGCTGATGGATTTCTCCAGTATAAAATGGTCTACAGTGGAGCTTCTCATACTTTAATGTGCACACATACTACCTGGGAATCTTGTTAAAATGTAGATTCTGGGGCTGGGCCTGGTGGCTCTCACCTTAATCCTAGGACTCTGGGAGGCCCAGGAGGGAGATCAGTTGAGCTCAGGAGTTCAAGACCAGCTTAAGTAAGAGTGAGATTCCATCTCTACTAAAATAGAAAATTAGCTGGACAACTAAAAAACATATATATATATATAAATTAGCTGGGCATGGTGGCGCATGCCTGTAGTCCCAGCTACACAGGAGGCTGAGGCAGAAGGATTGCTTGACCCCAGGAGTTTGAGGTTGCTGTGAGCTAGGCTGACACCACAGCACTCTAGCTCGGGTAATGCAGTGAGACTTTGTCTCAAAAATAAATAAATAAAATGCAGATTCTGGCTGGGCATGGTGGCTGATGCCTGTAATCCTAGCACTTTGGGAGGCTGAGGTGGGAGGATCGCTTGAGCTCAGGAGTTCAAGAACAGCCTGAGAAAGAGTGAGATCCCATCTCCTCAAAAAAACAGAAAAATTAGCCAGGTGTGGTGGTGTGTGCCTATAGTCCCAGTTACTCAGCAGGCTGAGGCAGGATTGTTTGAGCCCAGGAGTTTGAGCTATGATGACACCACTGCATTCTAGCCGGGGCAAGAGAGTGAGACTGTCTCAAACAAACAAACAAACAAAGAAAAAAGCAGACTCTGATAGGGGAGATCCCAGAGTTGGAGTCTAAGGAGCTTGTAGATGGCGCTTGGCAGCTGGTCTAGGGACCACCCTCTGCAGCACTGTCCAGCGGGGTATAATACAAGCCATGCAGAGGACTTAAGATGTTCTGGTAGCTACACTGAAGTTATAAAGTAAAAATGGAATGTCAATCAGCTCAACAGGAAATCTCTGTAGCGCATCTGTTTCAATATGGACAGTGATAAATAACTATTTTGAGTTTTTTTCTGCCCAGTAGGAAATGGGAAAACAGGATGGACTGGGGAAAAAATAAAGCCAATAAAAGGTATAGAGTTTAATAACATAAACAATGAATCAGGCAATCTTGCAGATACAGAAACTAGCCATCTGGCTAAACCTATTCTATGAACCATAAAAATGGCAAATCTTGTAGAGGGCACAAGGACAGTGTCAAGAAAGGTGCTACAGATATCTGGCGACATGGGGCAGAGGTTTAGGGGAGCAGGAAGTGTAGGCAGCCTCTCAAAGGTGGAAGGAATTTCCCCATCTGAGGAGTGTGAAGAACTGGTGGGTGTGTGAAGGCAAATGAACCAAGAAAAAAAGACCAACCAAGTATTTGCAGCAAATGATCGGCCAGTGTCCCATGCTACACTTGCAACACATGTGTGATGAGGACACACATTCTTCCTAAAACACAACCCAGCTTCCTACATATCCATCCTGCACTGGATTAGGTGAAGAGATGAAAACAAGAGGCTCAAAGTCTATGGACTTTGGGTGATGACGACAGGCCGCGTAGGTCCGTCACTCTGGTGCAGGACGTGGATAGTGGGGGAGGCTGTGTCTATGTGGGGGTGGCAGGCCCGTGGAACTCTGGACTTTCTGCTCGGTTTTTGCTGTGAACTAAAACTGCTCTAAAGAGAGAGAGAGATGAAAGGCTCTAAACAAACCCACCATTTCGTGTTCACTGAAAAGCATTAATTAAGACACACAAGAAAAATAAGTTCCATTTATTTCAATTTCAAAATATTTTAATTTTAATCATTTAAAAATGTGTAAAAGAAAATGCCCCCCCGCCCCATCAATCTTATAGCATTTGGGATCTTTTATAGTTGTTTCAAGTTCATTAATTTCTGAGCGGAAATTTCCACCTGTTGACTAAGCAAGCCAATCTCATTTGAGGAACGACATTCTCGGCATCCTGTGAGATCCCCTGGCTTTTACCACAAAGCACGTGTTCAGAAAAAACCCCACTCAGAGTGGCTCCCACACAGCAAATAACTGAAGGCAGAACACAGGTAGTCTCTGCTCAATGAAGTTGAGCCTTGAGGACCCTTCTTTGGCTGAGGGGGACGGGACGGGGTAAGAGGAAGGGTGGGGTTCTATCCATTGCTAGGCCTGTGACTCACAGTGACTCAGCTCTGAGTGGCAGCGCCATGTGCTCAGCCTGGCTGAGTGATGCTCCTGCCCGAATCTCCTTCTCCAACCTCACCCACTACGGCCATTTATAAAATAAGATAGCAGAGTCATTGTTGGAGGTAACACAGGGCTACTGAGGCACTGGATTTTCTTCTTAAAGTAAGAAAAAAAAAAAGCAGGGAGTTTTTAAGAGTCCCCATTCTATTGTGTTTTTATATGAGAAAACTCCTCCTATGGGGACTTTAAGCCAAGTAAAAGTAAGAGCTCTGGACTGATTCAATGGCCAAAAGTAAAAACTGTCCCTGATCCTTGGTTTAAGAGTGATTTCTGGATACAGATGAGCGCTATATATACACTTGCAGGCACTCCCCTAACCTTTCCTTATCAAGAGAGAATGACCATCCTATCACACCATATCTGCTTATTTAGTCACAGCAAGCTGTTAGCCAGCAACTAATGATGGGTCCTTTTAGGGACAAGGTCTGGCCTTACTTCCTTACCTCAATGACCTAGGAGTCAACTTGGGGTCTGTTTTAAATACCAAAAAGCAGCAAGACAAGGACTCCATGACCTATGATCCCTCAACCCCTCAGTGAGGAATCGCAACCTACTTGCATGTGCAGACAAGAGAAAAGCTGTTAACAGACTTTTTCTTGCCTAAAGCTTCATCATAAAAATTTTTAAATGAAGTGTGGTAGAAGGCACTATGGAAACTGAGGTGGCACATACCTTTTGAGGTGAAGAGATCAACCTCAACAGTGGGATTCCCACGAGAGTCAAAGATCTCTCTGGCGTTGATCTTGAGGATAGACATGGTGAATCTCTGTGGGGAAACACACAGTTCATGTTTTCTATAAACCACCATGCAGCATTTGCTCATTCATGCAAGGGATCACTTCTTAGGGTTCCTGGACTAGAAAGAATCTGCACTGGACTAAATACTGGATATAGGAAAGTTGGTTAGAGTGGAGTTTGAAAAAAGCCTGCTAGAAAGCAGTGGGAGTTCTCCTAAAAACGTACATTGAGCCCAGCTCTGGAAGGCCTTAAATCCCAGCAGTTGATTTCTTGTCCTATAAGCAAAAAAGGCTAAAAATGTGTGTGCCAGAGATAAGTCAAATCCAACTATAATAGAAAGATTAATATGTTGATGCACACAGAATGGTTCAGGAGGGAGAAGTCTGAAACTGGTTGTTGTCACTAGTTAACAATGAGGGCTGGCACAGGAATGGAAAGGAACCAAGAACAAATGGACATGAAGGTCACAAGAAGAATTATCCAGAAGGGGGTGGGAGGACCAGGAGAAAAATCTGGCTTATAGTACACTAGTGAATTAAAAGTTTGGGATATAATTCATCAAATTAAATTTGAGGTGACAGTAACATGTTCAATTGGTTGATATTAGATAATCAGTTAGAAATTTGGAGTTTGGAGTCAGGAATAATTAGCTCCTTGGTATGTGTGTTGTGATTTTTGCTGCCACTTTCTGGGCCTTTCAAATTTCACAGTATTTGGGTCATGAACAAGATAGGACACATCAATAATGACATCTAATTAGTATTTCTTTCCAAGGGCATTTTACTTCATTTAAAAAAACCTATTTATGAAATGTTGTGATTTGTAAATAGAGGAAAGAGTCTTTGAACACAAGGATACTTTAAATGAAGAAGCTTCCTTCGAAAACACCTTTAAAAAATTGCAGCAACAAAGAGCAAATGGCAAGTCCTCAAAGAAAATCCGTTTCTTGCTCTTTTCCCTTGGGGCTCTCCAAAGAAGAAATTAACTGAACAACTTATAGAACTGAAGTAGATGCGAGGAATTGAATTAGTGTTCAGAAGCCATTATCTATCTGGGCTTGTCTCCAACATCTTCTCTAGAATGTTCTGATGCAGCAAACGGTGTACTTTTAAGTTTCAAAATTAGATACTGAAATCACTTCTGTGGTTTTGCTGTCTATGTAACAATGGAGTTTAATTCGTTAGCCAAGAAAAAGGTATCAAGTTCTTATCTATGTTCCAAAGGACAAACTTGTTTAAATTACTTTTTAGTTTTTAACATCTTTGTTAATCTTAAATTTTGGAAAATTATATATTTGCACAAGATTCTCATCACCCCAAAAAGTTCCCTCAGGCCATTTCCAATTTTCCCTCTGCTCCATTGCCAGGCTACGACTGTGATTTACTATGTGGATTTCACATGCACTTTTAAACACAATTTTATTACAATACCTCAGCATTTTTGGTTTCATTCATGACGTGGAAAATAAAATATAGCTTATCTTTGAAGTGGACTGAAAAACTACTCTCCAATGTCATAAACGCTCAGGGAGCACAGACTGGGAGGAGGGTTGGCATGATTGTCAGTCTTCACTGCTTGTAACTGCTGCGATTGAACCCCGCCCCAGGGGCAGATTAAGTGGACCGAGGGGTCAGGGCCTAGGTGGGCTCAAAAGGCAAGTGAAGCAATGGACCACACCGCCCAGGGGAAAGAACACATCTCAGAGGAAACTACCAACAGGAAGTTTCTTAAAATACGTTCTAAGTCAGATTAGGGCCCGGCTGTTGGTGGCCAGCCGGGGAGCTGGGAGCAGCTATTGCCTAACTTGGGCGAGGTCGCCCGGTTATCCAACGGCTCTGCTGCAGTTTGCTCAAGTAAGCACCTTCTCGAAGTCATATTAGTCACTGCTTATTCCGGAGCAGCAATAGGCTGGACACCCAGACGAACAACTGCAGGCCACGAGCCATGAGTGCACGCGGGGCCGCCAGTGGGGGAGGGGACTGCAGCCTTTCGGCATCTCCCGGTCCCCTTCCTCCATTTTAGGAAGGGCCTGGCTCCAATGACCACCGGGGGTTCAATCTGCATCTCTGCAAGTAACCTTATACTTGGCTACTGATGGAGAAGCACCTTCCACTCCCAGCTCCCACTGCCTAACGGCCCGCGTGTGCTGCCCCTGACCTTCCGAGGACAGTTATCCGGCCCGTAACTCCGTAATCTCATGTTGATCTGCATCTTCCCAGCCCCCACCCCCAAAGAAATCGGGCGCCCCACAGGTGCGCCCGGCGCCGCGCCCGCAACCCCGGGGCGTGCAGGAGGCGCCGGCCCCCGCCGGGGGAGGGCGGCTCGCACGTGCCCGGCGACCCCTCCAACCTGAACCCGCGGGCTCGCGGGCTCCCTGAGGGGAAGGGGCCCCGCCAGCCCGGAGAGCCTCCGCGCCGCCTACCCGACGTTTGCTCGGCGGCACTTCCCGGCGCCCTCACCTGGCCGCCGGCTCTCGTTGCCCAGGACAGAAGCGGAGAGTGCTGCAGACACGGAGGTGAGTGTTATGCCGGCGAGGTCTGTCGCCCCAAGTCCCCCCAGCTCCGCCCAGCGCTGCCCGCCCAGACTTCCTGCCCAGCTCGGGGAGACCACACCCACCTGCCCCCACCTCCTCCGGGGCACGCCCCCTCAGCATAGCCTCGCCATTGGCCCGGGGCGCCGTCACTCCGGCCTTCACCTCCTGGAAAGGGGCGGGACTGCGGCAGCCACGGCTGCCGGGAAAGCGGGGCGACTACCCGGGACGTGGGGTAGAGGGCCTGTGGGGCCCCCACTCGCTGGCGGCTATGTTGGAGTACACGCGAGCCCCAGGACGGCACTGGGACCCCCGGGACGAGCTGGGGTCTGTGGAGCCGGAGCGCCGGGCGAGGGGCGGGGATGCGGCGGCGGGCATGAGGGCCCGGGGCTCTGTCACGTACTGCGAGTCCCGCACGCACTTAGCGTCGCTCCGGCGCAGCACGTCCAGCCCACGACCTTGGCGACGACCTTCGCGGCCCGCCCCTCTACCCGTCTCTCCAGTCCCCTGTCCCACCGCGAGACCCGTCGGCGTCTGGACGTTGACAGGCCGCGCGCTCGCTCAGGCGGTAGTCCCGGGTGGGGGCGCGGGGGGCTGCCGGGGGCCACGTGCGCCCCCCGCGCCTGCGCACTGCGCCGGGGCGCCTGCGTGCCACCCGCCAAGGTGACCCCGTCCCTTTGTCCTTGCTACCGCGGCCGGACGCGAGTACCAGACGTAGGTAGTCAAAAAGAAGGTTCACTTTGCTCTAATTTTACATAATACTTTTTGAGCGCTTCCTGCGTACCAGGCACGTGCCCACAGGCTCCCCAGTGTTAATTCATCCTCTAGCTCCCGTCCATGTTGCGTCTTGCAAGGGGACTTCGTATCTCTCCCCGCCCCCTTTCCCATCTAGGGGACTAGATCAAACCTTCCATCCATTAATGATCTGGGACTGGAATTTCACATAGACGCGGGGGATTTCTCGAAGTTAAAGAGACCGGTAATATTCCACTGTGGTCTGGCGAATGAAAACCAGGAAGGAGCTGGTGGAGTGACTTTTATCTTTCTGATCCAGGAAGAACTGGCAGCCATTAGAAAATCAGCTCTGCAGCACACCCTCTCCACTGCAAGGGAGGGCTGAGATGTTCGCTATCACTTTCTGTGATAGTTATTTTTGTACTTTTTCAGCATTCCCCTGGTCTGTGAGTGTGAGAGCTAAAACAATGTTATCTCCATATTTTCCTCACTGTCCTGCAGAGAGAGATTGAAATAGGTGCTGGAATTTAATTGCTACTTCTTCTGGTCGGCTGTGAGAACTGCTTTTCTTCTTTAACCCCTAGAATTTGTATGTTGGTTGTTACTGACTTTTAGGATTCATTCCATGGTATTGGATAAAGGTGAAGGCCTATTAAGACCATGATAGTTGCTTTCCATCGATTAAGCAGTTAGAACTTTAGGATTAAATTTAGCCAAAAGGCAACAAGGGGATTGTAAAATGTTTCATTGAGAAATTACATGAATTTTGCAAGCAGAATTTGTGATTATGAGCAATACACTGACTTTTTGGCTAATTAAGACCAATATCCCCAGCCCCATGACTCAGCAGCTATATTATATCAACAGCCAACATCTCTTAGGCCTTGTAAGAACTTTAAGAAATCAGGCACTTGGAGCCCTTATTTTCAGAGCAATTCTAAGGTGTGGTTCTGGAAGGGCTCTAAGTAATCTCTTATTTTACATTAAAATTGTTAGAGAGATAAAGAGAGAGTGATGTGGCTCATATAACTGCTTTCTGGCCCAAACCAGTAAATCTAGCAGGAAATCAAAGGCAGAACATGATTCCAGACTGCTGCTGTTGCAAGATTGTTGGAGCCCGCAGCACTGCATTCTGAGCCAGCACCTCAACCTCACATTGCACATTGTAGCTCAAATGTTAATGATTAGTAGAGATGCCCTCAAATCTTTTCCCAAACCCACAGGCTGCCAAATGCCCTTCCTGTCTCCATAGCTCCTGAGGTTATCAAGCTGTTCTGTTCACATTAGCTTGCAGTGAGCACCAGGGCATTTGTTTACCTTTTATAAGCACTTAGTTATTATTTCTCACCTGCAGTAAGCTTGTTGAGCAGTTTTATTGCACTGGAATATCAAAGGCAGGGAGGGGAAATGACTGTCCAAGGCTATCAGAATACCACACCATGAAGCACTACTGCAGGTGGCACTTGCAGGTGACCAGGATTGTGTGAAAGTGAATCTGCATCAACCTACGACCCACCTGGATTCCTGGTTCTACCTGTGATATGTGTTTGAATGCCACTGGGTGGCTTGAGAAAGTCACATTCTTTATGAAAGAAGGCCTCCAGGCAGATAGGAAACTTCAGAGTAAGATGAGGAGCCCTAGGGAGGGAAGATACCAGCCACCTAGGCCACCTAGATCCCCCAGGGCCTTCTGCTCTCATCTGGTATCTTAGCTCCCTCGAAGGCCCTCGGGATCTAGGCTGGTTGTCCCTCCTCAAAACACATCCTGAGGTTTTGACATTTGTTCACCACTAAGTATTTCACATGCACTGAGAGTACATAAAGTGTATATAAATGTCTGTGTACCCACATCCAGCTTAAAAAAATGGAACATTAGCAACACCATTAATGTCCCCTGTGTGTTTGTTCTTCTCTGGCCCAAGAAGTAACCACTATGCTAAATTTTGTGTTTATTATTCTCTTGGGGTTTTTTTGTCGCCCAGGCTAGAGTGAATGCCATGGCATCAGCCTAGCTCACAGCAACCTCAAACTCCTGGGCTCAAGCAATCCTGCTGCCTCAGCCTCCCGAGTAGCTGGGACTACAGGCATGCGCCACCATGCCCAGCTAATTTTTTCTATATATTTTAGTTGGCCAATTAATTTCTTTCTATTTATAGTAGAGACGGGGTCTCGCTCAGGCTGGTTTCAAACTCCTGACCTGGAACGATCCACCCGCCTACGGCCTCCCAGAGTGCTAGGATTACAGGCATGAGCCACTGTGCCCGGCCATTTTTTACTGGTTTTTAAATGAGTTTTTGAACTTTATATAGGTGGCGTTATACTGTTGGTAGCCTTTTGTTACAATTTTTAGCTCAATTTGATGTTTGTGAGATCCATTTCTGTAGCTGTAGATGGTTCATTTTCAGTACTGTGTGGTATCCCACACATCCTGATGATATACATTTGGGTCATTTCTTGTTTTCTTCCCTCCCTCCTTAATAATACCAACAATCCTTCTGTGAACTTAGTTATAAATGTCTCCTGAGCATAGGAGCAAGAGTTTCTCTAGAGCAGGAGTCCCCAACCATGGTGAGTCGTATTATTTCATTATATATTACAATGTAATAATAGAAATAAAGTGCACAATAAATGTAACACATTTGAATCATCCCAAAACCATCCCTGCCCCTTCCCATTCCATGGAAAAATTGTCTTCCATGAAAACGGTCCCTGGTGGGAAAAAGGTTCGGGACCACTGCCCTAGAGTGTATATCTAGGACATACGCCGAGATGTGGAATTGCAAGGTCATGGCATATATGCATCTTCAACTTTGTTTTCCGAAGTATTTGTACCTCTGTGCACTTTACCTGCAGTGCATATGAGTTCTGACTCAGTTTGGGGCGGGGGGTGGGATCAAATGCAACTCTTTCTTTGCAGTTTTTTTCTAGCAATTAAGTCCCCTTTGATTCTCAATTTACCACCCTTTCCAAGTCCCCCCCCCTTAAGGAAACCCACATTTCCTCTCTGTAAGTTGCAGTTAACATTCTGCCTTTACAAGGCTTTGATGACACCTATTAGGGCTCTCCACTGTCCTGTGCCTTTCTTCAAAGCTGATTTTACAAAGTCACCTGCAGGAAGTAGGGATTGGGCAAGGCTTACATTTGGGGAGAGGGGAGGGAGAGCACAGTAGAATTTGTAAACAAAGCCATGTTAGGGAGGCGTTTTTTTTTTCAAGGGTGCCCAAATGAGGGGAGCCAGGGGGAGGAGGATTAAAGGAGGAAGCCTGTCTGGGGAAGCAAGGAGCAGCACCCCTTAGGCACAGTTCCCTGGAAGAGTTAACCAAGACTGAATGGGGCTCTGGACAGCAAGAGATTACCTTCAGGAAAGCCAGGCATGGGAGGAGAGCATCAGAGATCTCTGCTGGGCTTCTCTCAGGGCCCAGCTCCTTATCTGAGGGATGGTGTGATAAAACGGACCTCAGGAAGTGGGCTGGGCAGCGACAGCCCAGGACTCTTATCATCAGTCTGGGAATCACTGCTTAAAGCCAGAAGGGAGGCCTGGTGAGCACTAACTCTAAATAGCAGCTGCAGTAGGTTATCGGACCAATTGTCTTCTCGCCTCTCTGTTCCCACTCTCCTTTTCTGAGTTCTTAAGGTTGTCACTAGAGGGCAGCTGCTGCCCTGGGGGCCAAGAAACTGTGATCTTGTGGCCCCCTGAGAGCTCATGCTTGTCATCCATGCAGGCAGCATTACTAGAGGCAGGTGTGCAGGGCCCTGGGGTGGATGTCTGCAAATTCACAGTGGCTGGGAAGGGAAGGGAAGACAGGTCGAAGGAAAGAGAGGTCGGATGATGATTATGTGAGTTCCAGGTGGAAAAACAGGAGCCAAGTCCTTGGCAAGGGCGTGGCCCCTGTAATTCACTGAGAGTAAGGTTCCACCAAGGCCTCACGTGGACAGCAAGATAATTCGAAAATTCTCCCCCCCACCTTTCACAGGTTGATAACATTGCTGAGCTCTCACTACCTGCCAGGCACCACGTTGCTTACACGTGTAACTCATTTAATCCTGTCCACAATCTGTGAGTGCGTTCCATGTGACCATCTCCACTTTTGAAGGCACAGAGGGGTAGCAGCTGGTAGCCAGGGAGATGCCAGGGACCAACCCAGGCAGCCTGGTCCCCCAGCCCTTGCCCCCAGCCACTCAGCATCCTGCTCCTCCAAGGTGAGGTTAGTTCGCCTAGTCCTTGGATTTGTCCACAACACTAAACTTAGTCCAAGGAGCCTTCCCTTAATTTGTTTGCCTACACATGACTTTAACCCTACCAGTAATTTAGCTGTAGTAGTGTCAGGATTTGAGAAACATGACCCGTGACGCTTTCATGTGTGCTAGACGCTGTATTCTCTCTGCAACAAGTTTGTATGAATAGCTGGAAGGAGAAAGCAGCCTGCAAAGTCAGAGAGGCCGGTTGCATTGTATCACAATTTCAGTTCCAATTACAAAATGTCCCCACGAATGCTGAGCTGAAGTGAGAATGGATTTCGGCCCAGCATTTGTCAGAGCCTCCCAGGATACTCTTGGAGCCAGAAAAGAGATGCACATTGACTGGAAGAGCAGCTGGGTAGGTTCATCACTGGCGGGATGAGTCTGCTAAGGGACTGATCTCAAAAAAGGCACCATCCTGGATGGAAGTAGGGACGACATGCTGCTAAAAAGCCACAGATTCAGAGCTGGATTGTTAGGTCGTCAGACAGCAGCACAAGTGAACAGCTGACTCGGAATTTGCACTAGACGGGCCAGCCAAGGTGCCAGATGACAAAC